TCAGTGGTAGAGTGCTTGCCTTGCATGCATGAGGCCCTGGGTTCGATTCCTCAGCACCACATAAAAAGAAAAAAGCCAGGAAGTGGCACTGTGGCTCAAGTGGTAGAGCACTAGCCTTGAGCTGAGCTGAAGAGCTGAGGGACAGCGCCCAGGCCCAGAGTTCAGGCCCTATGACCGGACGCAAAAAAAAAAAGAAAAGAAAAGAATCTCACAAACTTCAAACTGAGATCCTTAGCTCTCAGCCTCCTGAGTAGGATTACAGGCATGAGCCACTGGTGCCTGGCTTAGTTCCTTTTTTTTTTTTTTGGTCGGTCAGGGGTCTTGAATCTGGGCCTGGGTCCTGTCCCTCAGCTCTTCAGCTCAAAATAAATGCTGTACTACTTGAGCCACAGCACCACTTCCAATTTTCTGGTGAGTTATTGGAGATAGAGTCTCATGGGCTTTTCCTGCCTGGGCTGACTTTGAACCATGATCCTCAGATCTCAGCCTCCTGAGTAGCTAGGATTACAGGTATGAGCCACCTGCACCCAGCTAAAAACTGTTCTACAAGTTGTGTATGTATTATTTATTTTTTGTCGGTCATGGGGCTTGAACTCAGGGCCTGGGTGCTGTCTCTGAGCTCTTCAGCTCAAGGCTAGTGCATTACCACTTGAGCCACAGTGCCACTTCCTTAGTTCTATTTTTTTAAAACATTAGCTGATAATGTTAAAGACACTCCCCTGAGATGCTCTTGAACTCTTCATTTCCTCCTTTGCAGTTTGAAAGTATTCTTACTCCTCAGTCTTCATTAAAAACTTTATTAGGAGCCAGGTGCTGGTGGCTTACTGTATGCAAATTACCTGTCTGCTTGGGGTGTTTGGTGACAGCCTCACAGATAGACTCAGATTGGGTGACCTGTTGTCACACCCCAGCCTGGATGAACCCGCTATTATCCAATAGTTTGTGATCCTAGCTACTCTGGAGGCAAAGATGTGAGGAGCGCAGTTTGAAGCCAGCACAGGTGGGAAAGTCTGCAAGTGAAATGGCAGAGTGTCGGCCTTAAGTGGTAAAAGCCCAACAAGAGCCTTGAGTTCAAGCCTTAGTACCAACCAATATACAAAGTTTTGGCTAGAGGACTGGACATGTGGTTCCACAACAGAACACCAGCCTAGCAACTACCACCAAAAATAAAAATAAAAAAGGCACAGCATCCTAAGTTGGAGGTGCTGTTTGTTTGCTTTTTGTTAGAATTTTGAGAGTGCCTGGTATTTTACCCACTCTTTCTGCAGCCTGTGTAAAGCCTTCAGACTCCCTCCTTTTGTGTTTCCCCTGGAAATAGTTGGACTCTTCTCTGTCCTTGGCCCACATCTGTGCCTTAGTTAGGCTGGCTCTGGTCAGCCCTTTGTAGTGAGCAGTGGGCCCAGAACCTCATCCTGATTGCCTCTTTCTTGTCTAGCTCTTCATGCTCTGACCTTTAGAAGCGGTCTGGCAGTTTTTATTGTTGTTGCTCTGATTTGGATTTCATATCATTGAGTCCTCCTAGCAGGTTGTTTGTCTCTAAGGTCCCTGTTGTGTTGTACCTCCAATGCTGCCAGCACTGACAGCCTCTTGGTCTGTCAGGCAGGGCTGTGAGCTGGCTCCCAGGTAAGCAGAGGTTGTACTACCAGGAGTAGTGCAGCCATTCAGACATCATTAGAAGGTGCAGCACCATGAGACATTGAGTGGCTGGAGTTGACTCTTGGATCATGTATATTCATTCTCTCTCCCTCCCTCCCTCCTTACCTCCCTCTCTGTCTCTCCTTCACTCTTTCCCCCTGTCCCCTCCATCACCTTAGTTTCAGTGAGTTTTCACCATGTTTACAGATGCTGAGCTGTTGCGTATGTTGAGAAGGGAGTCTCTGTGAAGCTGTTAGGCAGTCTGTGATGAGTGGTCTTACTAAGTGAAGCCTTCGCTCCTGGTCTGAGACATTGCAGAGCGGTCTGCGGAACTGGCAGCCTGGCTCTGCACCTTTGTGGAACAAGTGGGAGTCAAACCTGCCTGCCAGGGGCTGGGAGAGAGCATGGGCACCTGGTGGTTGTGGAGTGGATTTCCTGCAGCTCCCTGCCAGCATCAGGTGCAGAGCCTTCACTCCCTCCCCTTCTGCCCCCCCTCCCCCGCCAGTGTCCTGGGGCCAGAAGGGTCTGGGCCCACCCTCTCAGGCGGCCTTCAGCTGCCTTTCAGTTTCCTTCTGAGCCCTGTGTATGGGCAGGGAGGCAGTTGGGAGACCAGACACACACGCAGCCTAACACATTCAGTGTCTGAGCTCTCTGAGTGTACCTGAGGTAGCCTCCCTTCTGAAGTGATTTAAACACCAGCCAGAAGACACCTCGGCGCACTGTAGAAAACAGTAGCTAGCACGTGGTGGTCTTGCCCTACCAACTCACCGTCCTAGGTTAGGTCCACATTTATGCCTCTAGCATCCATCAGTCACAATTAATGATGTTGATCATTGAAATTTGTTGCTTTTATAATTTCCGTTCACATTCAGTTCAGATCCTGGTTTTGATTTTAAGAGCTTGTCTGGGCTCTAAAGAGAGTGTTTCGAATTTTAGGCCCATACATGTTGGCTTGGCTTAATGAAAATTATTTTTCAACACTTGTCAGTCTTGGGAATTTCTCTTTTAAAAGATTTAGTCCATTTTAATTAAGTTTGAAAATCACTGACAACTAAAATATCATTAATTATGCAATGCTGTATGTCCACTGGGTATAAATGGCATAGATTTGGTCTCTTTTAATCCAACACAGGCCATTTTAGACTCGCTTAAGCAAATTTGGTTATTTTGAGTAAGAATGGCAGGCTGGGGATATTGTTTAGTCGTTGGTTGCTTGCCAGGTGTGCATGAGGCCATGAGAGCAGTCCCAGTACCACGGAGGGTGGGACAAACTCTTCTAAAAAGCAGACCATCCCCGTCCCAGGTCTAACTGAAGACTTCAAGGGAATGCCCCAAGTTAGAGGCAGGTGTGTGATGTTCATGAGCAGGTTTTAGGAGCCGTGTTCCTTACTGTTTGTAGTTCGCTAGTACAGAAAGTTTGTGTCGACCTTTAACAATTGCATTCTAGAGTTTTTAGCTCTCATCTCCTGCATAATTCTTCTTCTTTTTTCTATTTTTCCCTACTTTATCTTGCTATACTAAAATCCTTGCTAAAACTGAAAGGAAAAAAAGCCACCTAAACCATTCTATTGCGGCCATCGTGGAGGTTCTGGAAGTAAACTCAGCTTTTGGCTCTATCCTTACCAATGGCAGATGGTGATAGCCATGTCATAGTTTCTGCCTTTCCAGACTCCTCACCTAGCAGTGCTCCGAGACGTGGGTGTGCACCTCGTCTCAGGCAGTCATCATGCATTAGCCCCAATGCCTAGCTGCGGGGTGGGCATAACCAGCCATCCTGTACCTCAGCACTGCTGGCTGAGAACAGAGTCTAGTTGTGGCCATGGGACAGGTCCAGACTGGCTCCAAGGACTCTCCCTAGACCTTGTCCTCCTCTATGCAGCAAGTGGCATGTGTGGCTGGACCACAGGAGACCAGCTTCTTCTGGAGCCCAGACTGGACCTTTTCTTTGAAAATGCCCCATCTTAGAGGGGCATGGAACCTCAGTAAGCTGAAGGAGGATCACCAGTTCAAGGCCAGCCTAGACTACATCAAGAGAATTTCTCAAAAAAGTGACATCTTTTTCCAAGGCAAAGATGAGATAGTTTTTGTAGTCTATAACCAGAGTGTCAGCTTGAGGGCGCTGCACTGCTTTCCCAGTGCAGGCTTTTGTTCTTTGAAGTCTCATGTCCAAGATCTCCGAGTTGTGGTATCAGAAATCTCTACTGTCTCATGACTCTGTTTGATGCCACTATCTTTGAGACATTGACTTTATCCAGTCAATCAGAGCTTGGACTGTGGGTGTTGTTCTTTTGTCCAGGGGTATACAGAAATTTGTGTAGAGAATTAGGACATTTCTGTTACTGCTGTATAAAAATCTGATTCATTTAAAAAATTGGCATTAGGCATAGATCTTAAAATTGGACAACATTCTTCTATGACCAACCAAGTCTTCTTTTTTTGTACTCCTTTAAAAATTAAACTTTGTAAATTACTACCTTGTATCCCTAATAACTAGATAAATAGTGATGTGTCCTACACCAAGAAGTAGAGCCATGAAGTCAAACTCAAATGTGCTAGTGGACTTGCTATTCCATAGCCGAGAAGCAGTCTTTTTGTTTGGGGCGGGGGGGGGGGGGCAGTCGTGGGCCTGAACTCTGGGCCTGGGCGCTGTCCCTCAGCTCTTCAGTTCAAGGCTAGCACTCTACCACTTGAGCCACAGCGCCACTTCTAGCTTTTTCTGTTTATGTGGTGCTGAGGAATTGAACCCAGGGCCTCATGCATGCAAGGCAAGCACTCTACCACTGAGCCACCTTCCCAGCCCAGAGAAGCAGTCTTTTTTGTGGTTTTTGTTGGGTTTTTTTGTTTGCTTTTGTCAGTCCTGGGTCTTGAACTCAGGGTCTGTGCTTTGTCTCTGAGCTGCTTTTGTTCAAGACTAGAAATCTACCCCTTGAGCCACAGCACCACTTTGGCTTTTTCTGAGTAGATTTTATTGGAGATAAAAATCTCAGACTTTTCTGCCCAGGCTGGCTTCGAACCACAATCCTCAGATCTCAGCCTCCTTAGTAGCGAGGATTATAGGCTTGAGCCACTAGTGTCCAGCAGAAAGATTTTGTTTTGTTTTTTGGGGGTTTTTTTTGGGGGGGGTCTGATCTTGGGGCCTGAACTCTGGGCCTGGGTGCTGTCCCTCAGCTCTTCAGCTCAAGGCTAGCACTCTACCTCTTGAGCCACAGCACCACTTCTGGCTTTTTTCTTATGTGGTGCTGAGGAATCGAATCCAGGGCATCGAGCATGCAAGGCAAGCACTCTACCACTGAGCCACCTTCCCAGCCCCAGAAAGAAAGTTTTTATGTGTTCATCTTTCTTTGGTACTGGATATTCTCAGTGATTCCTCCCAAAAGCATTATGTTTAACTGCTTCTCTTTTATTAACAGCTGATATCATCTCAACCGTTGAGTTTAACTACTCTGGAGATCTTCTTGCAACCGGAGACAAGGGTGGCAGAGTGGTCATTTTTCAGCGGGAACAAGAGGTCAGTAACTTAAAATCCACAAACCAAATGGAATCATTCAACTTGCCTGTATAATTACAAAGGAAGCAAAATTATTTTCTCAGGACTGCATTTCCCTCACCTTTGGTTTTGGTTTTGTCTTATTAACTATGGAGACTCCTCTTCCAGACATGATCTCAGAGGTGAGGGAGATGTGAGCTGCACTGCCTAGTCCCAGAGGACTGTCGCTTACCTGGAGTGAAGGCCAGTCCCCGCCTGCTCACTGGTTAACAGATCAGGCTGGGATGGGGTGAAACGTGTGGGCCTTCATCTGAGGACGGGGTAGCCAGCGGAGCTGCTCGTGACCCCTTTCCTCCAGCTGTCTGCTGTCCGCAGGCATGAGCACCTGGGCCGTACTTGCTGCAACTGATAGACACAAGAATCCTAGAAATAAATGACCCTCACTGCTCCACCTCCAAAGACTTTCCCCTGAGCTGGGTAGGGTAGTCGGACCCAAACCTTAAGTTGTGGATGGTCAAGGCCTTACAATTCGGGTGGGGTGAGGAATGCTGTAATTGGATGGTGACTGCTCTGATTCCTGAGAGGGTGGCCAGATTGGCAGGTGATGCTGATTTATTTTGTCCTTTGTGACTTAGAACTGTGTGTTGGTGGACTTTAGGCTTCTGTAACAAAGTGGGACATGGTGAGGGGAGAAAATATGTAAGAGAACTAAGTCCCTAGCACACACACAGGAAATCACACAGTAGAGGAGCTCCCACCTCTTGTTCTTGGTGGTAAATGCTGGGCAGTAGGTAGAAACCAGCACAGTTGCAGAAGCTTCAAGTAGCATTTTGAATCTCCTCGGAATATTTGGTCTGAATTCAGAGATTAAAAAGGAGCACCTATCCAGACGTAACAACTTTTAGTTAACACACATATTAAAGCATTAGGATTTTAGCTATTGACTATAGAGAATTGAGTGGGAGAAAGCTGTAGGCGCACAGATCACTGTGAGCCGCACCCGCTGCGCACAGGTCCTCCTTCCACTTTCCATCTTACTTAACCACCGCTGCCCTTCAGAGCTGCAGAGCAGTGGTGTGAGTGCTATAAATTTGCCTAGGCAGCACCTTGCCTGGAATGAGAGTTGAACTCAGCCCCACACTGTCCTGTCCTGTCCTGTCCTGTCCGCCCTCTTCCCCCCCCTCCCCCGCCACTCCCAAATCACAGAGTCATGCCTAGCCTCCCTGGATCTTTCTACTACAGCTTCTTTTTGTACTTGCAGGGTCTCGTACTTAAAGAGGGTGACCACATGGGGCCCTCCACTTAGCAGCTGCACGGCTTGTATGCATCACTCTGCCACTGCCTGTGAATTGCCTCTGGTTGGCATGTGTGCAGTGTCTAGGTCACACTGCCACAGAAGCTGGTGTGGCACCACAGCTGCTCCACCTCCGCTCCCCGTGAGCTGCCTCAGCCCAGCTCACAGCCTTGCTTCTCTAGATCCCACATCTGCAAGGGGGGCAGAGGCCAGGGAGGGCGTGTCCGCAGGACAGGCCTGGCCTTAAAATAGCGGCGTTCCACAGACCTGGACACGCAGTGACAGGCCTGAGCGATACTAAAAATAAGCAGTAACAGTAACCGAGCTTCATCTGTGAGAGGGGTTTTTTGTTTGGTTGGTTTTGTCCAGGATCTTTTTTAACTTTTTCTTGTCTCAGCAAGGCAAAATTTACTTCTGCATAAGAGTGCGCCATCAGCCAAAACTGTGGCAAGCAAGCACACAGCCGTTTCCTTTGTAAAAATACGTGTGCTTTTATAGTTAAGCTGCAGTACTGAAATTTCTCTGTATTGTGCTTATTTATTAACACAGCTGTCATGTTTCCTTGCAGAATAAAAGCCGTCCTCATTCTAGGGGAGAATATAATGTTTACAGTACCTTTCAAAGTCATGAACCAGAGTTTGACTATTTGAAAAGTCTAGAAATTGAGGAAAAAATTAATAAAATTAGGTGGTTGCCACAACAGAATGCTGCACATTTTCTACTCTCTACAAATGGTAAGAAATCTTTAAGTAGCTTTTTTATTTAATGTTTTATGTTTTATTTTCTATATATCATATTCTTATTTTTAAGTAGCTCTAAAGGTTGTTTGTGTTTTAAACTTTGGGAGGGAATTAACACCAAGGATGAAAAGTGGTAGGTTAAAAATTCAAAGCATGCAAAAACCAAAAAAAAAACCTAGTACTACACTCCACTACTGTGTAGTGTATATGTGCCTTTTTCCTTATTTATTGTATAGAAGAGATTGTCTGTCTGTAGTTGGAAATATTTGTGTCCACAACCTCCTGGCTTAAATCCCCAACAGAGAACCAGAGTTGTCTAGTACAGCATTCAGGTAATCGTGATGCATGTTACTGGTGGTTTTTCTTTTAATATGAAGAATGAGGTTTTTATTTTCAGATAAAACTATTAAATTATGGAAAATAAGTGAACGGGATAAAAGAGCAGAAGGTTATAACTTGAAAGATGAAGACGGACGGCTCCGAGACCCATTTAGAATTACTGCACTACGGGTATACACACATTTCCTTTAACCTTTTTTGAGCACTTTTCAGAAATGATCAGAAACCATGTTCCATCAGCTGTCTAGAGACAGAACCAGGCTTCGCCCTCGTGACTGCTGGGCACCATTCAGAACGGTCACACCAGCACTCATTTGTGTGTGTTAAAATGGGGTTCTTGTCTGTGGACTTGGCTCAGTGGGTAGAGCTCCTGCCTAGAAGCTTGAAACCCTGAATTCAGAACCCATCGCCACCAAAAGATAACTAAGGGAGCTGGGAAGGTGGCTTAGTAGTACAGTGCTTGCCCAGCAGTAATGAAGCCCTGGGTTCAATTTCTCATTACCACATAAACAGGAAAAGCCAGAAGTGGAGCTGTGGCCCAAATGGTAGAGTGCTAGCCTTGAGCAAAAGAAACTCAGGGACAGTGCCCAGGCCCAGAGTTCAAGCCTCAGGACTGGCACAAAAAATCACCAACACCAAAAGTCATGCATTAGCCTGGGTGTGTAGTGGCACCCATGAGCTGCGCCTGGACGGGCTGGGGCGGGTGGGGTCAGGCCCACTTCTGGATGAGATAGTGTAAGACACTAGAGTAAGGAAGGGACAGAGCTAATGGAATTTCTTTGACAGGGAGGGCACGCCAGTCCTCCTGTTAGCATTCGTGATGAAATGTTTGCATTCCTCTTCGGGTACGATGTGAAGTGCCCTTATTTATTAAGATCTAGTAATATCTATGATACCAGGTAAACTTGAAACCCCAGTCTCCTAATTGGTACACACCATCAAAACAGTGTCTCTAGTGTAATGAAATACCACGTGGGGATTAGGCAAACTGGACCGTACCCAGATAATAAGTCTGGGGAGACGTGAAAAATGCTGCCCAGGACAAGCTCAGCAGAAACCTCAGCACTGGGCAGGAGCAGCGCCGTGGCACGCTGGTGCTGGAGATTTCCCGTGAAGTTTAAGCCCTTGTCACCCTGTGCGTCCCCCATTGAGGGTGTCACAGGCGTCACCTGACCTGCTTCCCAAGAGGCCCAGCAGGCCAGCTGCACAGATCCTCCCACACCCTGGGCCTGCCAGCGGTCCAGGCTGAGGCCAGCCCTCCGTCCCCCAGAGATGGCCGTTGTGGAGGTGGGTTCCAGGCCGCCGCTCTCACCGTTTGCAGCAGCTGCCCTCAGGCCAGCGAAGGAGGTGCAACGTTAGGCTTAGGTGTAGTTTGTAAGAACCAGGATGTTGTTGTCCTCTAACACTGGTGGTTTCTGAAGTCCTCACTTTGAGAACTGCAGGTGCTAAGCTGTTGACCTCATGGAAACAAGGAAGCTTGGTAGTGAGTGCTGCACTAAGTTCTACTTGGGACCCGTCCCTCGCCCTGTACCCAGCTGTGTGTGTGTGTGTGTGTGTGTGTGTGTGTGTGTGTGTGTGTGTGTGTGTGTGTTCACAGCACCACTTAGGTCTTAGTGTGACTTTATTTCATCCCACTTATTTAACCTCCATCAAATCAGTCTTATCACTAAGTGAAGCCTGTTAGAAGTACAGGGTTATTTTGTTTTGTTTTTGCTCAGGGCTAGTGCTGGCTCCACTTTTGGCTTTTTTGCGGGGCAGGGGGTAGTTTATGGGAGATACCCCAGCCAGCTCAGATCTCAACCCTCAGATTTCAGCCTCCTGAGTAGCTGGGATTATAGGTGTGACCAACACCGACCTGAGAGAAGTACAGTTTTGTATCGGCCTCAGGGAGGGTATGGGGGTCATATGTAGACTTAGTTTCCTATTTCTCTCACAATTCAGAGTGGATTATTTGTGTTACTTTATGTAGGCAAGTCAGAAATACTGCTGTTTCAATATTTTTTCCCAGATCTTTAATATTAGAAGGGGGGGTTAGTTGTAAGGATTCCTTATTCCTATTACAGCTACCACAGGCATTGATTAGTTAGACACATTAGTTAGGGTCATACTGGTGTTTTTTATCCCGCATGTAGTAAAACTAGCCCTTTTTGTTTTAGGGAACCCCAGGGCATGGGTTACAACAAGAGCAGTATCATGTCAAAACACACATTTCCCTAAGGTCATTTTTGCAGAATCTGGCCAGAGAAAACAGTTGAGATTCTCCATAGCCTTTGGGGCTCCCTTCTGGTTTAATAACAGAATAAGCAAGAATGTGAATGCTCCCCTTCTAGTGCTTCCCTTGCAGAGGTTAGTAGGCCCCTGGCCTTCCTTACCTCGTGTGCTGTGGACCCTGTCCCTCACGGCCAGTGCCTGTCAAGGTGCTCTGACCAGGCCTTGCTGTCTGTTGCCTTTTAGTGTACCCACCCATTTCCTGGGAGCCTCCCTGACCTCATACAGGGGCTGGGGAATAGGGCTGCTTTTTTGTGCTGCTGTTACCTTTAATGAGGTATGACTACACACGTAGAGGTGTCTGTAGTCAATGCATAGATGTTACACCCATGTGGCCAGCTCCAGATCAACAGTGCTGGCACAGAGACTGGGGTCACTGATCTGCGAGAGGGTGTCTGAGCACCAGCTGTGAGGGCCAGGGGCCCGGGTTCCCGGCCTTCCAAGCGCTTGCTGTCCAGCATCTCAGTCATGGCCACTGGGCACATCCAGCAAAGTGGAGCCTCAGTGCCACAGAAACTGTTAGTGAGGGCAGCTGCCCTTCAATCCACCAGGGTGAGCAAACCTAAATGGGCACAGCCAGGGGAACTTGGAGGGAACAGCGCAGGCCATTCTGAACCTGTCATCCCTACCACTAATTGGTTATCTGGATGCTGCCTATACAAAGCTTGTATTTGTTTTCTGCTCTGAATGTTCCAGTCTTAGGCTACCCTTGTATTGAATTACTATTTCCTTCCATTTTTAGGTTCCGATATTGAAGCCCATGGACCTTATGGTAGAAGCAAGTCCACGACGAATTTTTGCCAATGCTCACACGTATCATATCAATTCCATTTCAGTAAATAGTGATCATGAAACATATCTGTCTGCAGATGACCTGCGAATTAACCTATGGCATTTAGAAATCACAGATAGAAGTTTTAGTATCCTTCCACAGATGGCTGTCTCTCCGATTCTCTCTCCTGGGCATTGGCCTTCATGCACCACAGAGTCTAAGCTTCCTAGTAGCCTGTAATGTCAGTTCTCTGTGACTTAATGTCCCAAAGATGACCCATTTCTTTTGCCTCAGTAGAAGTTCTCTATAAGGGATTGACCTGAAACTCGCCGCCCACCACGTGCAGTCAGGGTTTATTTGAAAAGTCCGTGCTGGCGTACTTTTTTCTTCCAATTTTACACATAGGTAATGAGGTAGAAAATGTGGCTTCGGGGCTGGGAAGGTGGCTCAGTGGTAGAGCACTTGCCTTGCATGCCTGAGGCCCTGGGTTCGATTCCTCAGCACCACATAAGCAAAAAGAAAAAAGCCGGAAGTGGTGCTGTGGCTCTAGTGGTAGAGCGCTAGCCTTGAGCTGAAGAGCTGAGGGACAGTGCCCAGGCCCAGAGTTCAGGCCCACGACCGGACCAAAAAAAAAAGAAAATGTGGCTTCGATTAGGGTACTATTCAGAGCTCTCAGCCAGTGGCATTACTGGAGCTCCTGTAGTTCCATGTAGTCCACCCCGCCTGCTTGCCCTCCAGTGGACTGTCCGGTCCCTGCCTGGCTGTATCTGGGGCTCTGGTGGGAGCTCCACGTGCTATTGGCACCTCTGGTCACAGGTTCTCACCAAACCCAGGGCCTGCCTCTGTGCCTACAATGCTCAGTCCTGCACTGGTGTCCTGAGCAGTTTCCAGGTTCTGTCTTTGCGAGGCTTTTCCAGGACTCCACCCTGCAAACTCCCAGTGGTTTCAGCCTTTCAGGGGCCCAGCTTGGTTCCTTACCTTGGAGGCCATGGACTCCTCCTGGTCCTTCCCCACCGCAGCTTGCACTCAAGCAGAGCAGCCAGGAGCATCCTTCTCTAGTCTCTGGGCCCTGCCTCCCTCTGTGGGAGGGGGCTGTGACATGAGCTGTAGGTTCAAGTTTTTAGTTTACTCGGTGTCTTCCACTGGAAGCTAAGTCTGTTGCTGGCTTTTCCAGAGCTGGACTCTGCTCTTGTTTTGAATGATTGATTCTTCTGCTTGACAGCCAGCTAAAGTCAGATATTAGAGAAGCAAAACCTTGTCAGAGCGCTCATTTGCCATCCCTTGTGGACAGCAGTGTGGGTTTTGAGTGTGTAGTGCTCGTTTCCTTCCTTCATATCATTCATGTGCACTGTTGAAGGTAGAGATCGCAGGACAGTAGAAGCAACAGCATTGTGAAAGCAGGGCCGTCAGGCGGGCATGTCCCTGGTGTGACTCACGTCCACCTTAACATGCTGCTGTGGCACAGCCTGCGTATGCTCAGCCTCCCGGAGTCCTGGGGGAAACTTGTCCACCATTCCCCACCCTTGGCTGGCATCCCAAGCCAGTCAGCTGCTAGCTCAGCCCCTGCACACCTCCTTAACCATGCTCTCCAGACATTGTGGACATCAAACCCGCCAACATGGAGGAGCTGACCGAGGTCATCACCGCAGCTGAGCTCCACCCACACCAATGCAACGTGTTCGTCTACAGCAGCAGCAAAGGGACCATCCGGCTGTGTGACATGCGCTCCTCTGCCCTGTGTGACCGGCACTCCAAGTGTAAGTCCCCCCACAGACGACAGGCGCTCCCGGTGTATGTCCACACGGATGACAGGCACTCCCAAGAATAACTCCCCGCAGACAACAGGTACTCCTGGTGTAGGTCCCACACACAGACAGCAGGCACTCCGGGTGTAAGTCCCACACACAGACGACAGTCACTCCAAGTGACTCAGGTGGTAGAGCTCTAGCTTTGAACACAAAAGCTGAGGGAGATTGTAAGGCTGAGTTCACACCCCAGTACTGGCAGCAAATGAAAACCACAGTGTCGCGTACCAGGGCACGAGTCCTGGAAAACTTCCTGTCGCCCTGCACCGCCCACCGCCACTGGGGGCACAGTGCACCCTCACTCAGCCTGCCTGCCTCTGCGGGCCGGGGGCTCCCTGCAGAGCTGTGGCGGCGGCGGCAGCAGTGCAGGCAGAAGGCGTTCCGAGGGAGCCCTCGGCAGCCCTGAGAGCTCAGGAATGAGGATTGTTGCTTTATTAGAATTCCTGTGGCAGAGATGCGGTGTTTTCACTGTATCCCCTGTGCTTTTAGACAACTGCTCACTTGTGTGGGAAATGCGCAGCATTAGTGCTAGGTGTTGACAGCTGCCCTCAGGTTAGCCTCCTGGCAAATGTCACAGTGAGAAGAGAGGAGGCAAAGCCAAAGCACACCTTCCTCTGCATGGGGTGCCAGGACACCTCGTGTGACAGCCACCGTGGTGACAGCGCCCAGCTGCAGCAGGGGCACGTCCCTCCAGCCCCAAAGGAGCAGCGGGAGCCCTTGCCTTTATTGCTACTGCTCACTGGAGAACAACCCCCGGGCCGACAGCCGTGGCTGTGGCTGATCAGCACTGCACTGCCCAGGGAGGCGGGTAGTCAGCCCAGCACATAGGAGAGAGACAGAGACGTGCCACTGTGTCACGTCTGCCTGCGGTGAGCGATGGAGCAGCAGATGCCATGCCCTGGTCTGGTGCCCAGTGAGCACAGTTTTTCACACTAAGAGTCTTGGGCTTGTGCCGAGGTCCTGCACCCAAGTGCCCATCGGGACGCTCAGAGGCCTTGTCCGTGAAATACTGGTTGAGAGCGGTGAGGGGTGGCGTCCTCCCCTGGTCCTTACTGGTGAACGTCCAGGCTGCAGCATCTCTGTGAAGGAGCTGCATTCTGCTGACCTGAAACAAGATGGACATGTTTTGTTTTGCAGTTTTTGAAGAGCCCGAAGACCCCAGCAGTAGGTCCTTCTTCTCAGAAATAATTTCATCTATATCCGACGTCAAGTTCAGCCACAGCGGTCGGTACATGATGACCAGAGACTACCTGTCGGTGAAGGTGTGGGACCTCAACATGGAGAGCAGGCCTGTGGAGACCCACCAGGTGCATGAGTACCTGCGCAGCAAGCTCTGCTCCCTCTACGAGAACGACTGCATCTTTGACAAGTTCGAGTGCTGCTGGGACGGGTCGGACAGGTGAGCCCTCCTCCAGAGCCTGCGTCCCGCGGGGCTCCCCGGGGCCCAGGGCAGGACAGTGTTCTCTGGCCCTCTGGGTTGATGAGGCCTAGGTGGGGGGGTGGGGGTCGGAGCGGACTTTGCCCCTTATTTATCGTCCAGCTGCGCTCAGGCAGAGGCGAAGCCTGCGTGCGGACGTGCGTGCGTGCGGACGTGCGTGCGTGCGGACGTGCGGACGTGCGTGCATGCATGTGGAAAGCTCAGTGAGTGCCCAAAGCCAGTGAGAAACCACGAGAGCGGACAGGACCAGGTCACTCCGGCCAGCACGGCCTTGCCTCACTTCCCCTCTGCGTTTGGGGACGTGGTGCCCAGCCTCTCTGATTTGTTTTGTGCACGTTTCTTAAGGAATTATTTCTGATGCTATTGGGAGCTAGGTCTTTAATATCATAACCAAGAAAATCAGATTGCCGAAGATGAAAGGGGACCATCTTACATCAATCAGTATATAGAACTTTGTTCAGAACTTAAGTAAGCAGTTCTGCTTCTGGCCACCACTGACTTGACATGCTAGGACACCCTCCAGCATCATACACAGAAGCGGGTGTGGTCATGCCCTGCTGCCATCCCAGTCCCTAGAAGATGAGAGCAGAGGATCATAAGCTTGAGGAACCCCTGTACTGTGTAGCCAAACCCTTTGACACCTAGAAGGGCCAGCTGAGATACTGTCTCTTGAGATGCCAGTCGAGTTCACACACACACTAGGGAGGCTTCACAAGGCCTACAACTGAAGAGAGAGCATTGAGCTCGGAAAGGAAAGCGAGCCCCGGAGTGCTGGCTGATCTGAGCCTTGGTGTGTGCAGGGGTGGAGGCTGAGGCTGAACCTCCACAGGGCACAGAGCTGAGGCTGGGTAGCTTCTGTCCTTTGACCAGGTGAATTTTTTTGCCTGACACCTTGGATACCAATGCCTGCCCTGAGTTGTGCTGAGCCTCGCGCTGAGTCCGAGGTTCGTCTCAGCGGCCTGTGTCTGTCTGTCTCAGCCACCTGTGTCTGTCTGTCTCAGCTGCCTGTGTCTGTCCGACTCCGCTGCCTGTGTCTGTTTGACTCCGCTGTCTGTCTGTCTGTCTCGGCCATCTATGTGTGAGGGAGGAAGCTTCCCGGGCCTGTTTTCAGACCCACGTTCTGGCCTGGAGTGTTCTGTGGCTTCAAGACCATTCCTGAGATGACAGCTCAGTGCCACACACAGGCTGGAGGCCCCTCTGCCTTTCAGCAAGCAGGAGACAAAGCCTTCGTTTTGCTCCCCACTGCTCTAGGTAGAGCATTTTGTTCCCCAGTAGGGACCACTCACGAATCCTGTCTGACCTTGTGAGGACAGGTGGGTCCTAGTCCTGTGATGGACCTCCCTCCCCACTCAGGTCTCAGGACTCCCCAGGGTAAAGGAGATAAACAGCTCCTGGCAGCAGACTGCAGAAACTAAGGATTTAAATGTGGAGATTTCAGATCACAGGATAGAAGGTAAGGGTCCCTAAAACAGTTACAGAGTAAAGAAAAGAACCACACCCCGAACAAGAAACCACAAGACTATTAAAAATGACTTCGGGAGATTGGAAAGAAATCAAAACTTCAAGGAGTGGAAGAGGCAGTGTGCATTTAGTCCAGTGTGGATTTAGAGTACATCTCAGGTTAGCTAAAGAGATCTTGAGTCACAGAACTGGAGAGCATCAGAACAGGCAGCCAGAGGAACAGAGAGCATGAAAGGTGGAGGCCTGGGAAGGAGATAGTGCAGAACCCAGGAATGCAGAGCTGTGGGGAGGTAGTACGTGACGTGATGACAAAACCCATTGTTTTATACCATTACTATGCACTAGTGAAGTGCTAGGTCTAGGAATCTTCTGCAACCTGACAGAAAAGACAGAAGCCCAGCTGGCTGCGGGCACGGGGCACATATCATATGAGATCGCAGGATGCCTAAAGCAGCCTGGAAGCCAGGTGCTGGTGACTTGTGCCTGTAATTCTAGTTACTTGGGAGGCTGAGACCTCAGGATCCATGGTTCAGAACCAGCCTGGGCAGAAAAGTCTATGACTCATTTCCAGTTAATCAACAAAAAGCTGGAAGTTCCAGCTGTGGCTCAAGTGGTAGAACACCAGCCTTGAGTGAAAAAGCTGAGGAACAGCCCTGAAGCCCTGGGTTAAAGCCAAAGAAAAGAAAATAGAAGGAGGCCTGGGAAGGTGGCTCAGTGGTAGAGCGCTTGCCTTGCATGCTCAAGGCCCTGGGTTCGATTCCTCAGCACCACATTAGCAGAAAAAGCCGGAAGTGGCGCTGTGGCTCAAGTGGTAGAGCACTATCCTTGAGCTGAAGAGCTGAGGGACAGTGCCCAGGCCCAGAAGTTCAGCCCCTACAACCAACAAAAAAAAAAAAGAAGAAGAAGAAAAAGAAAGAAAATAGAAGGTATTAGAAGGGCAACATTTTGTGGAGAGTCGACACTGAGGCTGGGAATGCACTTCACAGGGCAGCCTGCCTCAGTCTCTGTGTTGCCATGACCAAAGCCTGGGGCTGGTGATTTACAAAGACAGTTCATTGATCCTCCAGCTGAGTGCACTGTTGGTGGAAGCTGAGTCCAAGATCCGAGCAGCCCGTCTGCTGAGCCTTCAGTGAGGGCCTCCGATGGCACCACGCACAGGAGCCCGGGAGGGGGGAGCGCCTGATTACCTGGAAGTTAGAAGAGAGAGGAAGCGGGGCGGGGGGGGGGGGGAGCGCCTGATTACCTGGAAGTTAGAAGAGAGAGGAAGCTAAAGAGCCGGCGCACAGCAGCCCACGGTCATGACCCCAACCAGAGAACTGACTTGTGGACAAGAAAATCCTTTGTGGAGGCCAATCCCTCCTGACCCCAGCACTTGCCGACGCCACACCCCTCAGGACATGCAGCTCTGGAGTTGGCTCTCTGCTCTGCCCATCGCAGAGCCAGAAGCCCTGCTCTGTGCCGAGAGAATGCCGAGAGCTTAGGTGGAGATGGCGGCCTGGTGGGGCCCGCCTGGCCGAGCCTCGGGGTGGAAGTGCAGTTGCTGCTGCTGCCGCTGCCAGACCTCCAGTGGGAGAGCCGGGCCACCCAGCAGAGCAGCTTGGCTGGGAAGCAGAGGAGAGCTGCGGGGAGCAGGGCTGGTGCCTCAGCCGGCAGGAGGGTGCTGGCAGGCCCCAGGGGACCCGGGCCAGCAGCCGAGGCCCAGAGCCCTCCACGCCCCACAGACAGATGAGCTGTGAGTGCTGAAGAACGGCAAATGAGCCAGCGCCTTTCACTCTGGGGACAAACCATGGCGCACCCTATCGTCCCAGTCACTCAGGAGGCCCATCTGGAGGAGCACAGTTTGAGACCAGACCAGGCAGAACAGTCCAGGAAAAACCATCTCCAAATGACCAGCTAAGCAGGCCAGGTCAGGCCTCGGGCCCTGGGGTTGAAGTAAACCGGTGGGTGCACAGGGTCTTCTGAGTTGGTTTTCTGGTGTGAAGGTTTTGATGAGTAGGCAGGAAGAGCCCTGAGCACGCACAGTGACAAGGGAGGGCACAGATGCGAAGCCAGGAAGGTGGCAGCCGCCCCCAAACGGGCACTCCGGGCCAGTGGGGCGGGGGGGGGGGGGGGGGGCACGGCCCTGGTCACATGCGGCAGCATTTGAGCCGCGTGGTGGGGGCGGGCATCTTGCGGGAGTTCTGGCTGGAGACACTTGCAGTCCCAGTCCCGTGGCACTGCCCTGTGAGGAGCGTGGGGAGCATTCGGGATCCGGCACCAGGTGGCCACGGCACGTGCGTGCTCGGCCTCCCTGAGGAACTCATTGTGGCTGCGGCTTCATGGGCAAGTTCTGTTTTTTTGGAGGGGAGGGGTGTTGGAAGTCTGACTGGCTAGCCTGGAACTTGAGTTTAAAATCTAAGGGATAGCACCCAGACCCTGAGTTCAAGTCCCAGTACTTGCACAAAAAAAAGGGGGGGGAGGAAAAGATGAGAAAGAAAATTCTAGGATCACAGGCGTGTGGCCATCTTGGCTTGAAAGAAGCGTCTCTCTAGTGTATACTAATTATAAGAAGACAGAGTTCACCACGATGCCGGGTATACGTACGTGCTGCAGCCACACACAGCCCTCCCCTCTGCATGGTTCCTGTGACCTGAGCTTAGAAAGTGGAAGCCCCCTGCTGACAGCGCCCCCTGCTGACAGCGCCCGCCGCCGCTTGCCGCACACTCACCGTCTCGCTTCTTGTCTTGCACAGCGCGATCATGACGGGCTCCTACAACAACTTCTTTCGGATGTTTGATAGAAACTCTCGGAGGGATGTTACCCTGGAAGCTTCGAGAGAGAACAGCAAACCGCGAAGCAGCCTGAAGCCCCGGAAGGTGTGCGCGGGAGGGAAGAGGAAGAAGGACGAGATCAGTGTGGACAGTCTGGACTTCAACAAGAAGATCCTCCACACGGCCTGGCACCCCACGGACAACATCATTGCTGTAGCTGCCACCAATAACTTGTATATATTCCAGGACAAAATCAACTAACCATGCCGACCACAGGACCCAGCCTTGTGCAAGGTGAAGGCCGTCATCCTGTGAGAGAAGAGGCGGCGGCGGCCTCTCCACTAAGAACAGTGAGCGCTCCCCGCCGCCCTTCACAAACACGAGAGAGCGGCGGCCTCCGCTGTGCTCTTCCACCGAGAGCCTCTGCTGCAGTCCTGGCCCAGAGAGCGATCGGTGCTGCTGCTCAAGGGAAAACCCACTCAAAGAACTGGTGGACATTGCTCGGTAATGGCCGTTATTCACACAAAATAAATGTATTTATTTAAGTCTGAGCCTTCCTTTTCGGTTTATAGACCAAGAACCTAACATCAAGAGAATGGGTCTCATCAAGTCTCTTTCTCTGCCACCCCTGGGCCTTCACTTGGACTTGCTGTGGACAAGGTCCAGGGCCCTCACTGGCCTTCCAGCCCGGGTGGGCGTGCGTGTGTGCGTGGACGGACACACCGAGCAGCCTGAGCTGACCCACCATTGTAGCTACACCATACCTCTGGTGTGACCACTAATAAACACAACACATTATTACGTGTTTTTAATCCAAGCATAAGTATTGTGTTTATTTGCTTCAGTTGTGCAGAGTGACACTATGCAGAATTACTTTCTGAGCAAATTGAGAGGCTTGCATGCTCCCTTGACAGAACGGTGGCGTGTTCTGGACTCGAGTGAAGCAGTCCCAGGCTGCATTGGTTTCTTCAGGTCATGACTCTAGAGACAGAGTTGAGTCCACTTCTGAGAAAGAGCAACAAAGTTACTGCTACAAAGATTACTGCCTGGCTCACAGTAAGGCCTCAAATTCTTTTTAATAAAAAGAATGGGGAGAAAACATACTTTAAAATTTTTCCTATGTCAGGGCTGGGAATGTGGCTCAGTGGTAGAGCGCTTGCCTAAAATGCATGAAGCCCTGGGTTCAATTCCTCAGAACCAGATAAACAGAAAAAAGCAGAAGTGGTGCTGTGGCTCAAATGGTAGAGTGCTAGCCTTGAGCACAGACAGGCTCACAAACAGACCCTAGGCCCTGAATTCAAGCCCCAGGACCAGCCCCCCCCAAAAAAAAAAATTGCCTAGGTTATATGCGTGCTAGATTTCATATTGCATTTCAGGCCAGACCCGGTGCTTTCTTTGGCGTACTTTAAAAGAATGTTAGGGCTGAGAATATCAGAAATCAAGATTTCTCCATTACAAGGTGTACCAACATACTTGACCAAAGCGTGGGGTACAGGCACGAGCCATCCTCGTGGGACGGGCCGGCAGTGGGCCTGAGTGCCACCCTGACTCCACGCTTGAAATTGAGACCTGAAAAGAAGCAGCTCTCACACTGTGTCTTGCTTGTGACACATGGACAATGACATGGGGAACAGAGCTGTCAAAGCTGGTCCTTGAGAGACATTCCAGTAAAACAACTGCGTGTTTCCACAGGGCCACACTTTACCAAAGTCACATGGCTCCTGGATCTGCGTCTTCCCTGCCACCTCAGGACATGGGGGAGGGCATGGCCGGCCCTATGGCCCCTTGGGCTTCTCTCCACATGGTTGCACCATCTGGCAGGCTGGGTACCCCGTCTCAGCTGACCCAAGTCCCTGGCAGATCCGGGTACCCTGTCTCAGCTGACCCAAGTCCCTGGCAGACCTGGATATTCCCATCTCAGCTGACCCAAGTCTGATCAGGATGTCCTCAGCTCTGGGTCCCCACAATACAGTGCAGCCTGACATCCATTCTGAGAAGTAGGAAGTTCTGCGCGCTCTTCCCTTTATGTTGGCTGGACTGATCCTACCCTGGGGTAGGTTAAGGTGTTTACGTGCGTGGATGTTTTGTTTACATTCAAGCTTATGAAATATCTGCCCTTTACATGCTCACATTTTTTCTTCGGTTACAAGTTAGTTAGAAATCTGTTCTTGGAAGTTAATTCTGTCAATTATTTGCTAAGAAGTCTGGATGTGGATTTTTTAAAGAGAAAGACAGCTTAAATGAGTAAGCTTTCTTCTTATGGGTAAACTGGTCATGGCCAGTCTTTCCCGTGAAACCGGGCTCTCTGGCCACTGGTGAATGCCAAGTGGAAACTTTCCCACTCTTTCCGTAACTTAGAAGCTTCCCCAACTGAGTGCCGCAGCGCCACCCGGCTGGGCCAGAGAAGGGCTTGGATGGCAGGTGGGACCATTCCATAACCCAGGGGCACACATTTGGTCACCGGCGATGGCTCAGACTTCAACGTGGCGTACTGCACCCCTGGAGAGTGGAGGCGAGATCCTGCTTGCCAATCGCCTCTGCACACCTGGCTGGCCCCATCTACAGCCCTGGCAGGAGCATGCCACACACAGCATCTCCACAGGGCCAACAAAACCCCTCAGTCAGTTATGGGACCAAGGACTGAAGTCATGGCTCAAGTAGTAGAGCACCAGGTGTAGGCAAAGCGAGAGCACCAGGTCCTGAGTTCAATCCTAGTACCCTGCCAAAAACTGAAACCGCTGTGTGTCCCGATTTCACCGTCAGAATGATACTTTCTATCATAGCTTTTAAGATGATCGGGATGGGAAGGTGGCTCAGTGGCAGAGCGCTTGCCTGGCATGCATGAAGCCCTGGGTTCCATTCCTCAGTTCCACAAACACAGAAAAAGCCAGAAGTGGTGCTGTGGTTCAAGTGGTAGAGCGCTAGCTTTGAGCAAAAGAAGCTCAGGGACAGCACCCAAGCCCTGAGTTCAAGCCCCAGGAAAGAGATGAGAAGGACGTAGACTACCCCTCCAAAGTTTCCCTCAGAGGAAACTTGAGAAAAGCCATGGGACAAGTGGGAGAATCCTGTAAAATTTGTGGGGTTTAATTTTTTTTTTGTTCCAGTCCTGGGGCTTGCACTCAGGGCCTGGGCACTGTCCCTGAGTTTTTGTGCTCACGTCTAGTAGTGCTCTACCACTTGAACCCAGTTCCACCTCCTGCTTTTTGATGGTTAACTGAAGATAAGTGTCACCGACATTCCTAGCCAGGCTGGCTTTGAACCATGATACAGGTATGAGCCACCAGTGCCCTGCAAATGTGCCTGTTCTCTAAGGATGGAAAGTAATTTACTCCAAGAACTTCTAGTAAGATATTTATTCTCAAAAATCTAAATACCCAAGTGCAGCATGTACTTCTATGGTTCTATCAGAAAGGTACTTTCTAATAAAGTTTTAAATTAGCAATACCCATACAGTACCGAAAAATCCTGCCCTGCCTTTGAACCTTGCGTAGACACATGTGTACTTCATCTCTCCCATTCCTACACAAAGCTGTTATCCTGCGGCCAGGCCTATCTCAGTTCCCCACACGGCAGGCCTTGCTTCTCCCCATAGTGTGCAGCTCTAGCTCTGTGAGCTCCTGGGAATCTGCATCTCTAACAGGGCCAGAAATAAAAGGAGTCAGTATTAAAAACAACCAGCTGGCTGGGCACTGGCAGCTCACACCTGTAATCCTAGCTCCTCTGGAGGCTGATATATGAGGTTTGTGACTTACAGCCATACTGGGCAAGAAAGCCCGTGAGACTCTTAACTCCAATTAACTACCAGGAAAAAAAAAAAAGTGGAGCTGTAGTGCACAGTGGTAGAGCACTCGCCTTGCGTGAGAGCTCAGGCCCTGAATTCAACCCCACCACTGACAGACACACAAAAAACACCAGGAGGCTCTAACAGGCCTAGAAGAGCATAGAGGGCTCCTGCACATCTTCCATCATATAATCCGACAAGGCTTAAGACCAAATTTGAGTACAGTTCTAACTGCCCTGCGGCTTTCATCTTACCCGGCTCCTGTGTCTTCTTGTCTAGGATTTTCAGTGCTTAAGTTGTCCTCTTCCAGGGTTTCTCTTTCATGTCCTTGACACTTTGAAGACTATAGACAGCTGTTTTGTTTTTTGTTTTTTTTTTGGTCGGTCGTGGGGCCTGAACTCTGGGCCTGGGCGCTGTCCTTCAGCTCTTCAGCTCAAGGCGAGCGCTCTACCACTTGAGCTACAGCGCCACTTCCGGTTTTCTGGTGGTTTATTGGAGATAGGAGTCTCAAGGTCTCTCCTGCCCGGGCTGGCTTTGAACCTTGATCCTCAGATCTCAACCTCCTGAGTAGCTAGGATTACAGGCGTGAGCCACCAGCGCCCGGCTTAGACAGCTGTTTTATAGGACCCCCCCCCCCAACTTAGGATTTTTTCAGGATTCAAGTGCCGTTATGCATTTAGCAAACACTAGATGATGTGGCCTTCCTTCTGCATTAGATCAGAAAGCAGGTGCCGTCTACCATTCTTTTTCTATGCTATTATTCTCTGTGTGGTCTACATCTCAAAGGAAGCCAGTGACGTCCCTTTCGGTTTTGTGGCTTCCTAACGCACGTTTTCTATCCCCTCCTGCATTGAGTTCCACAAAGCAAGAGCACCTATCTGTGCTGGAAATCATTGTCTCACCACCGTGCCCCACAGCCCCACTTCTGGCAACTCAGGGAGTTCTTCAGGATGGACACAGCTCTCTCCTCTCCTCTGGACCTTCACTTGCAGTTTTCAAGCAGGGGCCTGAACTCAGGGCCAGCATTAAGTCTCTGGTAGCTTTTTGCCCAAGGCTGGTACTCTTACCACTTGAGTCACAGTTCCACTTAAGGTTTTTGCTAGTTAATTGGGGGTCTCAAGGTCTTTTCTGCCTGGACTGGCTTTGAACTGAGGTCCTCTGATCTCAGCTTTCAGAGTAGCTAGGATTACAGGTGTGAGCCACCAGTGCCCGCCCCCTTTTATCTCAGTTTTAATGTAACCTGGAAATCACTGTTAGTTTGTCCACTCTTCCCCCTTGAGACTATGTCAGCTTGCTGAGCCAGTCTCCTACGTCAAGACATTACATTCGCAAGTAGTGGCCTGATGTCAAATCACAATTCTTTGGGTCGGGCACCAGTGGCTCATACCTGTAATCCTAGCTATTTGGGGCAGAGATCAAAAGGATTACATTTCTAGGCCATCCTGTGCAACAGGTGTGTGAGACCCCATTCTCAATGCTACACACCCTCATCAGCTGGGGCAGCAAATGTGAGTCTAGACCCAGCAAAAAGTAAAATCCAATCTCAGAAATTAAGTAGAGCAAAAACGGTTGAAGACGTGGCTCACATGGTAGAGTACCTGCCTAAAGCAAGCACAGCAAGAACGGCAAGAAAAAATTGGAACGATGCAATGCTTTGGTATCTTATCAAAGACTCTTATTCGGTGGATAAAGAATGGTGACTTGCTGTCCAGAAAGGCTGCTCCCTCCAGCCGTCGTTCCCCCTGCAGGCTGAGGGGCCTTCCAACTCCAGATCAACAATGCTGGGGGGAAGGGGGGACACAAAGGTGTCTGCACCCAGCACACAGGTCCCTTATCACAGAATGCAGCTATCTGCAGTTTCCTGGCAGCAAGTGTAAGCAGGTCTGAGTAGCGGGAGGTGAGGGACTCGGGCCCCCGGAGTCGTGTGCATGCGGACGTCTGCGCACGGGTAAATGCAGAAAGTACATCAGGCTTGCCTGTTTTAAATGAGCCGCGTGTACTGTGGTGTCTCGTGGGCATCTGAAGCCCTGACTGACGGGGTCGCCTCCAGCAGCCCCCCAGTGTGAGGGTGGTAAGGAAGGCCAAGCGCTGGCTTTGTCCGGCATCTCAGCTGCCTGGCAGGACGTGGTCAGGGGATCCCGAGCGATGCTTTCTCGCGTGGTCTCTCAGCGGCACAATACCACCCAAACCCAACAGAACAAGCAGACCGTTCTGGTCTAAACTTTTTGCTATAAAACCACAAGGAACTCACTTGCCCAGAGTTTTTTTCTTTGCATTACAAGAGATTTGAACTCAAGGCCTCTTGCTCCATGGGCACACCGTCGAGCTATGCCTCTGGCCGCTTTTGGGTGGTTATTTTAGAACAGGGTCTCACTTCCCAGCATGGTTAGGATTACAAGCACACCACTGCATCGAGCTTCCTTTCTGTGGAGACGGGTCTTGCAGCCTCTCTTCGTGTGTTAGCCTGGTACCACAAGCCTTCCGGTCTCAGCCTCCCACATAGCTTGGGAATAACGTGCACCCACTTTGGGTGCTCTTTTGGGAATTAAGTGTACCCAGCTTGGAGCTGAGGAGTCACACACTTTCTAACCTTTCTGCCATGGATGGCCGCAGAATTCCAATCCTCTCATTCTCAGCCTCCCAGGTCTCCTGATGACAGGGGAGGGCACAGGCACAGTGACCTCCGACTAACCCCAGCTACTCAGAGCCAGCCTGGGCAGGAGGCATGGATGAAGTGATAGAACAGCTGTGCACAATGCTGCCACCACTAGCCCTCTCCACATGAAATGGCCACAAGCCAGTGCTTTCAAGTGCATCACTAATAAACAACTCTTACAGCATGCTGCTTATTCTAACACTGAATAAACTGTGAAAGATTAAACAGGATATAGACAGCTATCAAAGAGGCAGCCATTTAAAAAATAATGCTTTGGCCAGGCACTGGTGGCTCATGTCTGTCATCCTAGCTACTCAGGAAGCTGAGATCTGAGGATCGCAGTTCAAAGCCAGCCTGAGCAGGAAAGTCCATGAGACTCTTATCTCCAATAAACCACTAGAAAACCGGAAGTGGTGCTGTGGCTCAAGTGGTAGAGCACTCACCTTGAGTTGAAGAGCACTAGGACAGCGCTCAAGCCAAGTTAAAGCCCCACGACCAAAAAAAAAAAAAAAAGCTGGAGTGGAGTTGTGACTCAAGTGGTAGAGCACTGGCCCTGGGCAAAAGTACAGGGACTAAGTCCTAGATCCAGCACATTAGGGAGGAAATCATGCTATAGAAAAAGGATGAAGAACGCGCAATAGGCCGGGCTGAATAGAAGCTTTTTTATTTGTTTTTATTAACTCATTTCAATATTCGCTGAAAGATTTGGCAGATTCATGGTTTCACTATGTCCAGTCCTTCAAAGGAAACATTTGCTTACAGTAAAGCTGATTGCTAAAAGCACACAAAACTTGCACACAAGGGATTCATGCTGCAACCTAGCAGAAGCTGAGTGTGGAGGGGCGGCTGCCTGACCGCCAGGCGGAGTCTCACTGCTGGGAGCGGACTGCACGGGCGTCTGCACACGTCCCTTGTGGCTATTTTGTACTCTATGGTTCACACGGTCAAGTGTTCTTTATAGACAACCAGCTTTCATTTCAATTACATACATCGTATTTTCTATCGTAGTTTAATTGTAAGGCCACAATATTCCTTTTAGGCAAACTTCTTAATGTAGGGAGTTTACTATCAACATTATTCATTCTTTTGAAATATAAAGTGTATCAGCTGAATTAAGGTTACAGATAATTTTTAAATAGTGCATACATCATGACTTGTTCATTACAATTATTTATACTATTTATACCTAATACCCAAAGGAAACTTACTATCAAAGTTTACAGTAAGCATCCGTCTGACACGCTTGTCCACTGATCCCAGTGTAGTGACAGGTCAGCATGAGTTCAACGTCTGCTCTTCCATTCCATCTACCAAGTTAGGAAAGCCGCGTTTACAGAACAAACACAAGGGGTGCGCCGCCCTCAGACCACGATGGCTCTCCAGCTGGGCCGGCTCCGACGCTATCCCCACTATCCCCGCTGCGAGTAGGTCGGTGCTGCGCTCCATCAGAAGGTGCTGGTGGAGGGGGTCAAGCGCCTTCCAATGTAGATCCTAGCGGAAAGGCGGCGCCGTTAGTACATGCACCCCGGACCTGGGCAGTCTGCCTGCAAGTGTCAATGGGGGCTGCCCCTTGCAGACCTCTTGCACAAATTGCTGATACATAACCTGTATTACCAAAACTTTTGAAACATCACTTACGTTCTGGCAGACAAAGTGGGATAGCAGCGGGGGCAGGGCTCACTGGCAAATGTGCTGTGTGCACTTGGCTCCCAGTATCATTTAAAAAGCAGGTTGGGGGGGCTGGGAAGGTGGCTCAGTGGTAGAGTGCTTGCCTCACATGCATAAGGCTCTGGGTTCGATTCCTTGGCACCACATTAACCAGAAAAAAACGGAACCAGAAGTGGTGCTGTGGCTCAAGTGGTAGAATACTAACTTGAGCTGAAGAGCTGAGGGACAGCACCCAGGCCCAGAGTTCAGGCCATAACCGACAAAAAAAAAAAAAAAGAATGAGACCTAGTCTGCTGGGCCACACCAACAGTGTCTGGGGACAGGGACAACTGAGCCATCTGCAGGCCTTTCCATCCTGTCCCTGGGCCTCCAACACATGCCCTGGCCAACCTAGCTGGAAAGCCACACAGACCTCCTACCCAGTGCTGTACGCCACAGGGCCCCGTGAAGCCACCCCGGGCACAGAGGCTGCAGAGGACCCTGAAGCACAGCGGCTCTGTTCCCTCCTTCGTTTCCTGCTCTGGCTTAATCCACAGGTGCACTCGCTCAGCCTCACACTGCAGCTACAAGGACTGCAAGGAGGTGGAGACCCGCTGAGGCGAGCAGACCCTGTCCTGCTGGGGGCCTGGCAAGCCGCTGACCATCAGTGCACTCACCACAGAGGACCAGAGGGAAAAGCCCACCGGCCATGTCACCTACCCCAATCCGATGGCCAGCAGATGAGAGAGCAGCAGAGAAGGAAGGAAGACCTTGAGAAACTCAGCTGAGAATATGCCCCCTTTCTTCATGACGCTGGTGTTCCTCATGCTCAGCGTAGCTGTGCGCTTTGGGTGCTTAAAAAGGAACTCCCTAGGGAATTTAAATGGTCAGAGATGCGTGTCCGACACTGTTCTGTCCAGAGAAGCACCCACCCACATCCCACAAGACTTACTTTGGGGGGATATTTTCTGGCCGGCTTGACCAGTCCCATATCCAATCTGAGTTTTTCTTCAAGATGCTTTCAACTTCTCTCCTTCTCTCAATATAATCTTCCTCGGACTAAGAGCAAATATTTATATACACAGATCAGCCTGTCACATCACACCAGACAACATGAGGTCAGTAAGCGGAAGGCAGAGCCCAGAGACACGCGCCTGCGCCTCAGACATGTCCACGACAGAGCCCCACGGGGCTCCTCCCTGAGGACAGTGCGCATACAGCACCCTTGAGTGCCTCCAGGAAGTGATGTGACAGGAGGGCGGTGACTATGGTTAGAGTGGAAGAAAACATCAATCCAGAACAGCCCAACATAGGCAAGGCCAGATCCACAGATACTGCACCCCAAGCAAGGTGAAAAGATGCTGACAGACTGAGGGAGAAGAAACGCTTATCACAATTTTAGTAAAGCCAGGCTCCAGTGGCTCACACCTGTCATCCTAGCTCCTCAGGAGGCTGAGATCTGAGGATGGCAGTTCAAAGCCAGCCCAGGTAGGAAAGTCTGTGAGACTCTTTTCTCCAGTTAGCCATCAGAAAACCAGAAGTGGGTCTGTGGCTCAAGTGGTAATCACCTCGAGCTGAAGAGCTCAGGGACATGACCAAAAAAAAAAAAGAGATAAGCCTGGTGGATCATATCAAATCTATAATCCTAGCTACTTGGGAGACTGAGCTGATCTAAGGAATACAGTTCAAAGCCAGCCCAGGCAGAAAAGTCCATGGGGCTCATCTCCAATTAACCATCAGAAAATCAGAAGTGAAGTTTGGTTCAAAGTGGTAGAACACTAGCCTTGAACTAGCCTTGAGCAAAAGAACTCAGGGACAGCACCCAGGCCTTGAGTTTCAGCCCCACAAGTGACCAAAAAGAAGGTAATGGGTCCTGAGCCGCTATGTTGGTGGAAGCCGACTCGCACTCACTGCCCAGCTATGGCCACCGCTTCACAGGCCATCCCCCGCCTCTCCTGGCTGTAGGCATGAGACCCACCACACAAGCCAGCTACCTGCTGTCAAGGCAGCTCACCTGCCCCTGCACGGCTCCTCAGCTTACCTGAGAGCTGTTTTTTTCCCCAATGCTGTGTGTGTCCACTTCAGAAACCCTGGTGGTGTCCTGTGGTGTCTGCGAGCGAGGTGGGCTTGGTGATGAAGTGGAAAAAAGGGGAGAACAGAAAAACTATGTGAGCACCATCACTGAAACAGAAATCCCCAAACCCCAAAGTAGGAGCTATTGCCTGGCCAGGACAGGGGTACCTGCCAGTGCCTGGATCCCTCCACCACCAGAACAGAACCAAACGGACTCTTGTGGCAGACAAGGCTGGTGGCTCAGCCTCAGGGAGAGGCTGCAGAGTCAGCTCCACCCTTGAGACCCCTGACCTCCACGTCCACCTCAAACCTTGAATTCTTCCTAGCTGCTGCTAACCAGGAGCCCTCTGACACAAGCAAAAGAGGGTGAGAGTGAAACTCCAGACCCGGGGACAGGAGGGCCCAACTCTTTACCGCTAACCTGTCTGTTCCTAGCTTTGCCAGGCACTTTTCAGGCACCTGATGGCAAAGTTCCTTTTATAAGGACGGCTGCAGGAGGCTCTCCCAATGCACCCTCAGGTGCAGAAGCCCAGACCCCTCCAAGCTGCGCATGTCCGCGCGCGTGCGCGCGCCACTGCTCAGCCCCAACAACTCCCACCCCAGGGCACCAGCACTGTCATGCACACACCTGCAGAAACCTACCTGTCACAGTGAGAACTCTTGGAGCTACTTCGTCCAGATTCATGCTGGGCATCCAGAAGAATTTTTTCCATGTCACCATTATAAATCGAAACTGAGGCTGGAACACTGCTCCCGTTCCCATTACTGCTAAAGTGCAATTCTACCCAGGAGCCTGAAGAGGCCAAAAGAGGAACAGTTGGACACATGGACTCACTCCCATCTGGTCATCACATGTAACCCGCCCGCCCTTCCACTCCCAAGAGCAACTGCGGAAGCACATAATGAACCTGCTCCTCCACCCCACCTCAACACAGCCTCCAGCCCTCTTCCAGCACTGGCATTACTAGTCCACAGTTCCCCTCTCGATCCAAGAGACCAGCCCGTGGGCCTGAGGCCACGTGTGGACGCGTCTGCATCTCTTCCACCCCTTCATAGCATACAGATGTTCCCGAAGCCTGCAGTCTCCAGAGACTCATTCCTTTTGTCTTGCACTCAATTTTTGTTTTGTTTTTCCAATCCTGGGGCTTGAACTCAAGGCATAGGAGCTGTCCCCTCAGCCTCTCTGTGCTCAAAGCTAGTGCTCTATCACTTGAGCCACAGTGCCACTTGCAGCTTTTTTGAGTTTACTGGAGATGATTCTCACAGGGACTTTTCTGCCTGGGCTGGCTTTGAACCACATTCCTCAGATCTCAGCCTCCCGAACAGCTAGAATTACAGGCGTGGGCCACCATGGCCCAGCCTTTATGCTCAATTTTTAGAAGAAAAAAACCTGTCCAACTAGACATGGTAGCACACACCTATAATTCCAGCATTTGTGAGACTAAAGTAAGAAGAACCCAAGTTCAAGACCAGCCTGCCCTACGTAGTAGTGAGACCTGACTGAAGAGACAAATAAACTAATAAAAGCTTGAGTCTTTGCCACTTCCCTGTTATTTGTCTAAGCTCAAGCACAGTATGTCCTATCAGAGGACCATGTGACCCATCCTCTACCCAAGCCTAAGTGTTAGACACACTCTTACAATTAGGAGATGTAATAATGCACCATTAAACATTTTTAAATGCTTTAAACTTGACCTTGACCTGGTGCCAGGCTGGCCTGAAACTTGACCTTGAGCCAGGCCCAGACTGGCCTGAACATGCCATCCCCACCTCAGCCTCCCAAGCGCCAGGATCACAGATATGAGCCACCAAACTCAGCAGAGTTCTAACTCTCAACCTACTTCCTCACTGCAGGAGCGCAGTATCCCTGAAAGCCTGTAAAATTCACCTTTGCAGCTTTTCTGTATTACTTTTTTTTTTTGGGGGGGGG